CATGTGGTAGTGTGTGTTTTGTGCAAGTGAGTTTTGGACAGAGATGTTGTGCACGATGCCTTGATGAGATTGTCTGATGCGATGTGACATTCACTCACATCAACACTTTACACACACACACACACACATGCACACACATGCATGCATGTATGCGAATGAACACACGCATACACACACATGATAACCACAAAACATGCACCATGCAGCCTTCGCGTCAACGATCTTGGACCTGAAGGGGGAAAGGCGATTGGGGAGGCACTGAAGGTGAACACGACGCTGACATCGCTCAAGTGAGTTGTGTTGTTGTGGCCGTGGCCCTGAGCGTGAATATGTGCCGATTCGTGTGCAGGTGCACGTGTGTTTGTGTGGGTGGCAGTGGGCACATTGTTGTGTTGATGTGGTGTTGATGTGTCTGGGTGAGACAGTGATGTGGTGTGTTGACAAGCGTGAGACGATACGACACACCTGTTTTGTTTTATGTGTGTGTGTGTGTGTGAGTGTATGTGAGTGTGCATGTTGTGTAATTGATTTGCACTTGTGGTTCAGTGGCATGGTGATCATGATAGTGAAAGGGGGTGTGGGTGTGTGGATGTGAGTGTTGAGCTAGATAGAGGTTGGTTGATGTTGGTTGACAAGATGTTGTCACACTATGGGGGTTGTGTGTTGTGGAGTAACATAACGTAATTTGTGAATGTGACATGGTGGTAGTTGTGTGTTTTGTGCAGGTGTGTTTTGGATAGGGATGTGGTGCACGATGCTTTGATGGATTGCCTGATGCGATGTGGCACTCACTCACATCAACACTTTGCACACACACACATGCATGCATGTATGCGAATGAACACACATACGCACACATGATAACCACAACACATGCACCATGCAGCCTTGACCGCAACGATCTTGGACCTGAAGGGGGAAAGGCGATTGGGGAGGCACTGAAGGTGAACACGACGCTGACATCGCTCTAGTAAGTTGTGCGTGGTGACTGTGCCTGTTTTGCTGCATGCGTCAAGCGGTTTGTTTATGGCACATGTTCTCATGTCACTCCTAATTACTGGAGTGATACACCCTGCAAGTGCCTCGTAGCAATGTGAATGTTGCCTTGACCTTACTTCAACGCTCATTTCATGTTGAACACTCGCGCAATTTCTCACACCACTCGTCTTATGGTTGTAATTCAACAGCATTGACAGCAACTCGATTTCAGGCAGACTTGAATCATCCATCAAGTCTGCCGTTGAACGGAACAAGCAGCGCCAGAAAGAGCTTAAAGCACTTCTTGAGCACGGCTCCGTGCCGCTGTCCACCGCGAAGGTGTTCGTGTGCGGCCATTACGGCATTGGCAAGACCACCCTCATCGACACACTTCAGTCGGCTCCGACCTTCTTCAACACCATGAGACGCCACCGTCGCAAAACGTATGACGAGCCCGATCGCCCAGATCAGCGCACGCCCGGCATTGAGATGCACGATTTTGCACTCAAGAGGGGCAGGTCGTCTGGCAGCGTCTCCCTCACACCATCGCCAGCTGGCGCAGCAGAAGGGGGCGAAGACTTGTCCAGTCACGAAACAACGCTCCCGCCATGCAAGCTGCGGGTGTACGACTTTGCTGGGCAGGTGGAGTACCATGTGGTGCACGAGCTGCTGTTTGCGGACCACAACGCCGTCTTCGTCGTGTGCGTGGACCTGTCCAAAGACCAAGCCAATGTGGAGGCGTCTGTGCTGTACTGGCTTCGCTTCATCAAGACGCGCCTGCACCAAGCCGTGCACCGCTCAGCGCATCCACCGCACGTGTTCATTGTTGGAACCAAGGCAGACAAACCACACGAGCACAACACGCTGGTGGAGACAGCAGCAGAAGCTATACCACATGCTTCTGGTGTCTCTTTGCCGCCAATGCAGTTTCCGAGTGGCGATGCGCTGTTGCAGAGCCGACGACTGCAGGAGTGGTTTGGTGACACGATGCGCATCCATCCACATGTGATCCCTCTCAACTGCCATGACTTGGGCGGTGCCTGCATGCATCACTTGCGCGATTTGCTTCACGCGGCGTGGCTGGAGGTCGTTCAACGAGACATCCAGGTGCCCAAAGTGGTGGAGTTGATTGGCGAAGGGCTTGCACTGTGCAGAAAGGAGGATGAAGGGCTGTGGCAGTTGCACCGACTGTTGTTCTTCATATCCAAGAACATTGCTGGCATTGAAACCATTGAGGGCTGGAACGAAGACGTCTTCTTCAAGGCGCTCAGGTGTGTGTGTGTGTGCTGTGTGTGTGTGCATATGTGCCTGACTTTGGTTGCTGTACGAACACCTACGACGACCATCGCTCACCCCATCCCCCCCATACCAACACGCTTTAGCTACCTACACGTGCGTGGGGACATTTTGTGGTTCCAGTCCATCCCATCCCTTGCCGACCAGATCTTTGTCTCCCCGTCCTGGCTGCTGAGCAAAGTGGTTGGCCCAGCGCTGGCACCGGCCCACTTCCCCGTCCACTTGCGAGCGACGGAAGGGCGCGTGGTGTTCTCGGAGATGCAGCGCGTGTTTGGGCGGGTGTTGGATCCAGACCTCGTGGTGGACGTGCTGAGCAGCATGCTGCTGTGCTATGAAGAGGACGCCGCCATGCACGGAAGTGATGATCGTGTGTTCGTGGTGCTACCCCGTCTGGAGGAGAAGCAACAGGAAGCACGCCTTTGGGCCAAGAAGGACGATTCTCAAGTGTTTGCCGGCCGCCGCCTGCAGATTGCGCAACACCACGGGATGATTTTCCCTCCTGGCGTGTTCCCGCGTGTGCAGTCGCGCATCGTGCAGTGCTTGAAGCCTGGCACGAGCCTGTGGCAGACAGGGTTCTTTGGCTTGCTCTCCTCTGTTGAGTGCTTGGGCCGTATTGTGAGCGATACGTGCATTGATCTGTGGGTCCGCTGCCCTGCCACACACAAGGAGCATGCCTGGCTCGCCCTGGACATGGTGAGCTGTGGCGGTTGCTGTGTTGTGTGTGTTGTTTGTGTTTATGGGTGTGCGTGAAGGAAAGTAGCGTGCTGCACTGCTGTTCGTTGGTGATGCCCCAAGTCCTCACATTCTCCCGTTCATCCACACACACACACACACACACACACACACACACAAACACACACACACACACACACACACACACACACACACACACACACAACACACACACACACACACACACACACACAAACACACGCACGCACAGATGCTGGGCGAGGTGGAGGAAGAGATTGAGGGCATTGAGTACGACCATCTCGTGCTGAGCTACGCCCACCTGTCCTCCTACCGGCCCCATCCAGCCGGATATCTGCTCCAGGACGTAGAGGACGCCGCCACTGCGGGCGAAACGCTCATTTCTCGGATGGTGGACGATGTAACCAGTCCTGGAAAGAAGGAGCATGTGCGGGACGAGCTGAAAAACCTCCTTCGTGAAGACCTCTTCCTCACGCCTGTGGACAAGGGGTCTGATGTGTGATGTGTGTGTGTGTGTGAGTGTGTGAGTGTGTGTGTGCTACGTGTCTGTAAGTAGCTTGTGACTTGTGTACTTGCATGTCTGTTGTTGTGCTGTATGTGTGCCGCCGGTGTCAATCGTTGCGTTCAGTTTCTTGCACTTTGAGTTTCCTGTATTGCCGCATAACTGCGTCCTTCCTTCATCACCATGCTGTTTCACTTACTTGCCGCATTTGCGTTCGTTTCAAGTCACACCTTCATGTCTGTTGTTTTCGTGCTTGCTTCCCTGAATTCATTGGGTTCAATACATGACGAACGAATAGCCTCATGACCAATGACCACACGAACACACACACACACACACACACACACACACACACACACACACACACACACACACACACACACGAGATCATCATTTCTTGTCCACGTCACACTCTGCCATGAGGGCTTGCACGTTGTCCCTCAGCCACTGCTCGCATTCCTCGCGCGTCATGCGCGGTTGCAGCAGCATTTCGTCCGAAATGCGTTGCACGAGGCGCCCAACCATGGGTCCCTTGATGTCAAGGATAGTCATGACGTCACGCCCGCTGAGCAGCGGACGCCAGGTCCAGCAGCCAACGAGGCCGGACTTCTCGATCCATGGCATGAGGAGTGCAGATGGGAGGTACCGCTCAATCACAAATGCGTGGAAATGGCGCGCAAACACGTCGCAGAGGATGATTGCGTCACGCCAGTGCTCGCCAGCGGTCACCATTGCTTTTCCAATGGCCAATCGCACATCCGCGGGCAGGTCACCCAAGTCCACGTCGCCCTGCTGCTGTTGTTGCTGCTGTGTCTGCTGCTGTTGTTGCTGCTGTGTCTGCTGCTGGTCGTCGGGGAGCGGTGCTGTAGCTTCCTCGTGCTTCTCCACGTACAACTTCAACACTTGCCGAGACACCTGCGTTGTGAGCGTGTGTATGAGTGAGCGAGTGAGTGATAACGTGTCACCCGTGGCATGTCCACACCTCATGTCCATCAGCAAGAGGGATCACCGCCATCAGCTTGACCTTACCTCTGCAAACTGCTGTGCGCTGAAGAGCATGTGGCAAATCATTTCGGCGCTCGCCTTTGACAGACAGATGCCCCTGCGCAGCATGTGGTACACGATGCTCCGGTGTGTCACCTGCACGCATGCACATGCGCGGGGGTGTTGTGGTTTGGTTGGTGTGAACACACGAGCGTGCCAATCAATCTGCTTGACGTTTGCATTTACACACACACAGACATAGACACACACACACAGACACAGACACACAGACACACAGACACACACACACAGACACACACAGACACACACAGACACAACACACACAACACCTTCTTGTCCTGGCTGCAGATGTAACCCCAAAGAGGAGAAAAGAACGCGGACAGGAGCACCGTCTGAACGGCGTGGTGGTCGCCGTCCTGTGCATACATACACACGCATGGATGAAGCAGTGGGTGGCGTGACACGGAGCCAAGGGGCGACACAACAAGGCGGAAGAAGCCAAGACAGGGTTGAGTAACGCAGGACACAGACACAGACACAGACACACACACAGACACAGACACACACACACACACACAGACACACACACACACATACACAGACACACAGACACAGACACAGACCTGTGCTTTTGCGACGATGGATTTGTTGGCGCGGTTCGCGATTTCGAGCGAAGCCTCCATGACGAGCCGCGGCTCAATCATGCGCAGCGGGACGGGGAAGTAGGGGAAGGGCACCATCTATCCCAGGTGGTGGGGGGGGGGTTCAGGTGGTGGCGAGGATGGGGTGAGGCGAGGACATGAGGGTACGCAGTGATGCTTCGTGGAAGTGCGAGTGGATGTCATGCTGCAGCACGACACACCATGTGCAACGTGGCACTCGCAGCAGCGGACACAACACTTGACTGCGCACTGGTGCTCCTCATGTCGCGCACACACACACACAATCATACACAATCATACACAACACACGTGCACACTGTCACACCTGCATTGTAGGGTCGCGGTGGTACTCTGCCGGGCTGTGGAACACGACATCGTACAGACCGAGATTGCACAGCAGCGACAGACACGCGAGGGGGTGGTCTGGGCGCGGTGGTGGACGGGTGGTGGCGGGGTGAATGAATGAAGGAATGGTGGAGAGGGTGTGGCACGCACGGGGCGTGTTTGAGTCAAAACAAGCACCACAGTCACACGAACACATGATGTTACACCTGCTTTGAACATCTTGTCGACCTCGATGCCATAGCGCTCCCTGCTCACTTTCGTCTGCAGACATTCCTTCACCTGCATACATGGGTAACGAGGACAAGAGCATGAGGCGCGTGTGTAGGAACTGCAACACAACGCAATCGCCGCACACATGCACACGCACACACACACACACACACGCACACACACAGACACACACAGACACACACAGACACACACAGACACACACAGACACACACACACAACCACAACGGCACCTGCGGGTCAAGGATGGCGTGCCTGGCGGCGTCTTCGAGCTTGAAGCCGTAACGGCCCGTGTACCGGATCGCCCGCAGCACGCGCAGTGGATCCTGTAGCCATTGGCGGCGGGCGGTGATGGGAACACGGGTGGGGAGGTTGCGAATGGGATGCCGATGAACATGAGGGCATGCTTCTTGTTCATACATACACAGACACACACACACACACACAAAGACACCCAGACACACACACAGACACACAAAGACACCCAGACACCCAGACCCCCCCCCCAACACACAGACACAGACACAAAAGCAGCAAAGCCAGCCAACTACACCTCCTTGAAGCTCCGCAGCGGGTCTGCGGGCGTGCGCACGAGGCCGAGGTCAAGATCGCTAAGGCCCGTGTCGGTGAAATCTTCAATTGCGTCCTGGTTGATGTTGTAGTAGAGGGCGTTGATGGTGAAGTCGCGACGTGCCGTGTCCTCCAGGATGGTGCCCGGTGACACCTTTGGGATGCGGCTCTCGGGGTCGTACACCTGGTGCAGGCGGCGGCAGGGACGGAGATGGGGATGAGGATGGGAGAGAGTGTTGGTTGGATGACAATGGTGGTGAGCGTGTGCGGTTGGGGGATGGATGAATCAGCAACACACTTGCATGCGTAGTCAATGCGGCGTTATGTGATGCGTCTGATTGTGGTGGGGGATAGGAGGTGGGTGACACAACACTGGACAAGCATGAGTGTGGATAAGGACCTCTGTGCGAAGGGCGTTGAGGTCGATTTCAAGGTCATAAAGCTTGATGGTGGACACCTGAGATGGCACGGCGATGATTCAGCCACAACACGCCAAGGTGAGTTGTTGCACAAAAGCGCGAGCATGCACAACGAGCGAACGCGCGTGCGTGCACACGCGTGTACGCACGCACGTATGCATACGCACTTGTGTACGCACACCTACACACACACACACACACACACACACACACACACACACACAATGCGGTGCATGTCTGCAAACCTGCAAGTGAGCAGACTGTTCTGGCACAGGCAAGATCTTGAACCGCGCTGCATCCTTCTCATTCTGCACGGCACAGCAAAGCAATCACACAGGAGGCACGCACAAACACCTGTCAGACAACATGATACACGATCTTACCCGCGTATGCACTCCACACATGGCAGCTTCTCACACTCTCTTTCCTTCCCTACACAAACACACGCACACTGTTCCTTGGCGCACCTTCTCTTTGAGGAGCTGTTCGATGTGAAGGGCGAGATCGGAGCCTGACAGGCTGTCGGTGGTGATGTCAATGTCCAGGGACTCACGGCCAAGCAGTTTGTCGCGCACCCAGCCACCCGCAACGCGCAACGTGTCCTTCAAATGGAAGCGCTGAACCTGCAGCGTATGGGTGCGCATGCGCGTGTGTACGTGTGCGCATGCGTACGTGTATGTGTGTGTATGTGTGCACGCGTTATGTGTGTGTACGTGTGTGAGCGCTGTCAGAAAGGTGTAGCACACAGCATATTGCCACAACCACACACACACACACACACACAATAAGACACACACACACAATCACACACACAATCACACACACACACACCACGTGCGCGGCCTTCCTGATGCAATCAACACCACATCCACCGCTACAGCGCGCGCACCACATCGATGAGGAGGGCAAAGACGCGGTGCTCCAGATCCGTCAGCCGTATCCTTCCTGTGGCTGCCGCTTGCTCGATCACAGCGTGCGCACGCGCCGACATGATGCTTGTGTGGTGCGCGGTGTGCAATTTGATGTGTGTGATGTGTGATGCGTGCGATGTGTGGTGTGCTTCTTGTCGCGTTCTGCTTCACCACACTGCTTGTTTGGCTGATAACCGGTGCTGAAAATCAGCACAAGATTTCTACCAATTGTCCGAACTTCACTCGACCCACACCAGCAGCAAGCGACAACGAAGAAGATGGATGAGGGTGACTGGGTGTCTTGGTGGCGGGCGATGTTTGGGCTTGGGGGAGAGCTCATCGTGTTCCTGTACATGCCAGGCCTCTTGCTGTGGGCCATTCTCCTTGGACTAAAGGTGAAGCAGTGCGCGCGATGGGATGCTTGCACATACGTACATGCTTGTTGTGTGCTCACGCTCTTACATGGCGGGTGTGTATGTTGATTCGTCTGCTGTGCTCATGCGTCTGTGAGTTTGCTTGCCATGTACAGCGATCCGTCTGCACTTCGCCCCCTCCCAACTATTTGTAACTGCCCTCTCCCTCAGCTAACGCTTGCACTTCTCAACCACCACATCACGCCCATGTACAGGTTGACGGGTATTTGGAAACATCGTGGTGGAATGTGACCATCCCCATGTTCTTGGCGACGGGCGTGACGGCGTACACCCTGCTGGTGGCTGCTGCGCGAATGTGGCGCGCACGCGGCAAGCGCTTTGCGCGTGGGAAAGGCCTCTTTGCGTTCGCACAGCTGTGCAACTTGCTCGTGTTTGTCTTCTTTGTCAGGCTCTGCGTGCACTTGGAGGACGGGTCGGACGGCTATGGCGCCCCGGCCGCGCCCTTGATCACGCTGGCTGCATGTTGTGCCGCAAGGTTATTCATTCGATGACAACAACAGGCAACAGATGCACCGCAGACGCCTTGGTTACCTGTGCGATTGTGTATGTATATATGTGGGCTCCATTGACCGCTTGTCACAAGTTAATTGATGCGAGAGAAGCTGGCTTGCCGTTATATTTGCTCGATGATGATGATGATGATGATGATGATGATGATGATGATGATGATGATGATGATGATGATGATGATGATGATGATGATGATGATGATGATGATGATGATGATGATGATGTGCGAGTGTGTGTATGCACGTTGTGTGGTATTTGAGGGTTGGACCGTTGTCACCATTATCACCATTGTCACCGACACCCATAACAAGTAAACGAACGATCTTTGTCCCTTGATTCAAGTGTGCAATTGTAAACTAGCTTTAATCAATAGAGGGGATACGGCTTGGAGGTACCTAGCACTGTCATAGTGCCTGCCAAAAAGGGAGTGGGAGGAGGGGGGGGGCGGAGTTAACAACGAAAGCATGGACAGCTTCCCACTTCCTTTAAAACGCAGCCTCCCTCATCAGGCCCGGCGCCGGCTAGTTTAGCCTATATAAGGCTATGCCTGTCTGGGCCCGTGTGCGGCGCAGGCCCTGTCCAAACCCTTAGGTACCGCTCACGTGTCAGCTTGGACAGGATGGCCGGCGCTGGGATGAACAGGAACGGCAAGCCTGCACGAGAGAGGACGTGTGTGTGTGAGTGTGTGAGTGAGCTGAATTGAAAGTAAACCCAACAAAGGGCTTGTCCAAATTGTCGTCGCTCTCTCATACACGCAGCAACCACCATCATCACGACGACCACACCACCACCATGATGACTAACCAAAGACGATGCATGCGCAGGAGGAGACAAAGGCGATGAGGGCGAGCTGCGTGTGTGGCTGCGCAACGGAGAGCAGAGATATCGCCAGCACCAGGCTGTGGTGTGCAAGCAAGGTGGAGGCACAGGAACACGGACAGTGAGGGGAGGTGGTGAGCACGTCGGGGGAAAGTTGTCAGTGATCAAGCACGACTTGGTCAGGTGCACAGACGAACAAAACAAAACAAACAAACAAATGAACAGACAGACAAACAAACAAACAAACAAAACAAACAAACACACACAGCACACAACACAACACAAACAAACCAACAAACAAACAAACAAACAAACAAACCATATACCCCCGCCCCAAACGTACCCCGTGAACTCGAAACCGATGCCGGCACCGATGATCCAGCGGTCGGTGACGCCAAACGAGGACGTGAGCACGCGCACGAGCACAAACGAGACAATGGCAACCGCGCCAACAACAATGTACATGATACTGTTGTTCGTCTCCGACCACCCAAAGTACTGCTGCGTGAAAGGGGTGACCCACGTCTCAAGGCCAACCTGGTTGAAGATGCACAGAAACTGCACGAGGAACAGCACCACCACGTGCAGCTGCGTGTACTCCTGCACGCGCGTCATGCCAACAGCAAGGCTCTCTTCGCCTCCCACCACTCGGTCTTCCGCCCCACTGCCTCCGCCCTGCACGCTCCCTTTCGTGCTGCCATACGAGGCCTTGTTCTTGTCCCCAAATCGCTCGCTCGTGCTTGCAAGCAACGCATCGCGTTCGCTGCGCGTTTCCCCCTTCACCACCCGGGCCTTTGACCCATTAACGTGCTTCTCCTGACGAGACCCAATCTGCACCGCATCATTGCCAACACCATCACCATGTGCACCACCATCACCATTGCCGACACCAGCGTCTGTGCCGCGTTCGCCCGGCGGGAGGCGCTGGATGTCGTGGAATCCAAACGCGCTGATGAGCAGCGAGACCGTCCACAGAACCGTCATGATGGCGCCTGGCGCGGACAGGCTGTCCACCAGGAAAGGGCCGAGGTGGAAGCGGAGTCCCTCAAAGGCAAAGTTGAGGCCCGGCCCAACGAGGATGCCCAGCTGCCGGCACATGATGACGGTGCCGATGACAGACGTGCGTTCCTCGCGCGTGCTCACGCGGGCCAGGTACGCAAAGGAGGCCGCAGCCACACCGTTGCCCAGCCCGCACAGGAAGCGCGACTCAAGCACGCAGTACGCGTCATTGGCGATCATGTACACAAAGTTTCCGCACACCATGAACACGCCCGCGGCAAGCAGCAGCTTCTTCGTGCCGCCGGCGTCGGCGAAGAGGCCAAAAACGGGGCTGCTGATCATGCTGGCGATGCTGATGCCGGAGATGGTGAGGCCCAGGAACCAGCGGTGGTCCATCCCAAGCGCCTGCAGAAACTTCCAGATGGTCGGCAGGATCACAGCATACTCCACGCCTGTGGCGTAGGATTGTTTAACGTGAGTGGGAGCGAGAATATAAGTGAGGTGGACACAGCTGCAGCAAAACACATGGGGACACGAAAATAAAACAAAAAGTCTCATCCACACACACACACACATACACAAAATACACAAACACTCACTCACTCACCCTCACACACACATACACAAACACTCACTCACTCCCTCACACACACACACACACACCACTCACTCACTCACCCCACACTCACTCACCACCTCCCCCTTCCCCCCCACCCGGCCGCAAACCCCACCTGAAAAGAACCAGAAGAGCCCGAGGACGATGAGGGAAGTCTTGCGCTGGCTGCGGGTGAGGCCAACAGCATCCAGGAGCTTGTCCACCTCCGTTTGCGCGCCACCGCCTGCTGTTCTGTCTGTGGAAGACGAGGGCGAGGTCGGCTCTTCCACGACATAGATGTCCTGCTGTATATGCCCTCGCTGTTTGGCCAGGAGTGGCGCTCTTCCATCGTCGTCGTTGGCGCCGCTGCCATCCTCCACGTCATCGGCGTCGTCGTCGACGTAGTATTCATTGTTGTTGCCAACGCTCTGTTGAATGTTGAAGCTGTTTGCGTGTTGAAGGCGGATGGAGGTGTTGTCCATGTCATCACAAGCATGGCAATCATCGTCGTCGTCGTCGTCATCGTCACCACGATTGCGGTTCCCGCGGCTCGTAACATGTGCCCTGCTGCTGCCACCACTCGACCTCACACTGTTGCGCCCACTTCCACCGCGATCCCCAGCACCGCCACCACCACCACCACCATGGCCACTCTGCATCCCCCTCCTTCTTGCCAGCTGGTCCTTGTGGCTGTCCATCGTCTTCCCTGTCTTTGTATCGCTCCACGCGCCACCGTCATCAGCTTCCGCCACACTGCCGATTATTGACCCAAAATATTCACCAATCGCCACAACTTGCGATCGCTTGAAGTGTGTGATTGCAGCTTGCTGCTCGACTTGTTGCTTCGTGGTTGGAAGCAAGAAGCAAAAGCAAGAGTTGAGCACAGCGACGAGGATGGAGAGGCTGCAGGCGTGTCGACAAGACTTGGTGTTGTTGGAAGGGCAGATTGCGCCGCGGGATGGCGTGCCGACCTTTGAGCAATTCTCCGTTGCCTGGCGCCAGCTCTCCTTCTCCGCAGTGCACCTTGCCGCCAACGATCAAATGGAGCGACAATTGGTCAGTGTACGTGTGCGTGTGTGGGTGGATGGGTGTGTGCGCGCACGGTGTGTGTGCGCATATGTGCATATGTGTGTATGTCTGCATTTGCGCGTTTGCCTGTACACGTGTGTGTCTGCATTTGCCTGTACATGTGTGTGAGTGTTTGGTTGCATTCGTGCTGCTGTCATCTCCTTCCCTCCTCATTGTGCTCGACTGTTGTTATGATGTCTAGGTCTTGGACACCATGTGCCACGCTGCCACAGACATGCTTGATGCCACGCTTGAGCAACGGGTGAGCCACATGCATATGTATGTGTGCGTTTGTGTGCCGTGGATTGCCAATTGCGCAAGTGTGGCAACTGGCGGCTGGATTGGTTTAGCACACTGTGTTTCTATCCCACGTTGTCCGCTCACAGATGTGTGAATGTTGTTTGCTTTCCTTCCATGTTGCAGATCCAAGTGTGCGGTGTTTTTGTGTTGTATTCCCTCTGGAAGACGGCCCTCAAAGGACAGCAGTTCAAGGTGAGCAGGGACTGTGTGTGTGTGTGTGTGTGTGTGTGTGTGGGTGGGTGTGCGGCTTTCATGGTGAACTTGACGTGGTGCTCAGGGAACATGGGGTGCTCAGTACAAACTCGTCTCACGTGAATCCCCCTTTTCACTACCACAGATTCCGGCCGATCCTTCATCGTGGCCCAACATCATCAACCTGTACAACACATGGGAGGTGTGTGTGTGTGTGTGATTATTTGTCCCCCCCCCCCTGCTTGCTCACCACTCTCTTTTCACGCCACTGTCTTTCCACCCCACTCTCTGCTCCTCACCCCTCTCGTCTCACCCTTTTTCCCCCCTCCCCGCATTCTCCCCATCATCACCCTTTACAACCATCACTTCACTCTGCCCTCAACTTGCCCCC